AAAATTAAATTACCTTTATCAAAATGAGTTTTCAATGTTCATTAGATTAGATTGTATCGATAATTTAGCTTTCATTTTCAGAAATCATGTGATTGGCAACCTTTAATTAATTTTCTAATTAATCAAGTATACCTACAATTGGAAAAGTCTATTACTATTTACTAGTATACATAGATCGCCACAAATGCTAAATTGACAAAGTGTGTTTTTGTCATTGTAGTGTTTAAATAACAATTGAAATAAAGCAAACATAATATATATTTATGCAAACAGAGCAAAGGACCGCNACTAAATTGACAAAGTTTTTGTTTTTGTCATTGTAGTGTTTAAATAACAATTGAAATAAAGCAAACATAATATATATTTATGCAAACAGAGCAAAGGACCGCAGGTAAATTTTTAATTAACTTTGAATTGTAAATAGTTGTATCATTTTATACCTTCGAAATAAACATTATCAGAATTGGATGGTCTGCATGCAAACTGGAATAAAAACTATAGACGAGTATTATGGCCGACTTGCGCCAAAAACCAGACACCATCAATGAGAAACCTGGGGATCGATCGCGGGACCTCCTTTTATTTGAACAATATATACTTAATTCAATTAAATTATTACTCATTTAAATTGAAATTTATTTGAAATACAAACTGATACGAGCATTCATAATCATGTATTCAGCTATTAATCACTTAATTTTTTTTTAGAAATGAATTGAAAATGAATTTATTATAATGTCTTTTTTTATTTACTGAGAGTAGAAAGAACATTTAAGGATCCTAAAAAGAATTCATAGTTAAGTTCTAAAAGTAACAAACATTTTTTTAAAAATTATTATGTATGATAAATTATTATTATGAGTATGTTGATTGACCAACATCGAGTACACAAAAATGACTACAATTTCATTAGATATTAATACATATGTAAATTATTGGTTTATATTCAATTAAAATTTTTTTCTTACTAATCCGTTTCTTTTTCGTTAATAAGAAATAAAATGAATCCAATAATTATTGGGTTAATTTAATTTTAATGGATATTTATTGAAACTTTGGTTTACACTAAAATGAAATTGTTCAATTCTATAATATTAAATATAATTATTATCTTCATAATTTCTGTATTTATTAATAATATTGAGCATTTAGAACTGTTTAATTAAGTTTAAAATATTTTTAAGAACTGCAAACATATAACGTTTTTTCTTTGTATTTAAAAAATCAAGATACTAATAACATTAATAATATTTCAATCGTTTTTTATAAAACAATAAAAAAAAACGGTAGCACAGTGGGGTCGCGGCATAGTGGAGACATTGCATAGTTGGGTTCAGTATAGATTTAATCTGACAGTGATTAAAATCACTATCATAAGAAACGCTTCGATGCAAATCTGTAGATAGTGTTTAATTTTAAAAAATTGATGGATAATTGCAAAAGCAACATCAACTTCTATTAAAATAAAATACAAAACCCATAATTATCATACAAAAATAGTATATTTTTCAATATGGTAGCCATTTGCGTATAGAAGATAGATCGTCGGGACAAATTTTTTTTTTTCATTTTGTAGTACATAAAATAAGCTTTAATTTTATATATGTTTAAAGGACGCAGTATTTCCGGAACATTTTCAAAAATTAAGTTGAAAAAGTTATTTTTTGTAAAAAAGTTACTATTTTAAATCCTCCCAGTGAGCAGAATAAGTGTTAGATTTTCAAAAAAAATTATATCAAATGAAAGGGAAATATCTAAGGTTTCAATACAAAAAAATATTATTTTTATTTGTTCATTTTTGAAAAAGTTATGGCAGTTTTAAGTACAAAAAACATCCCGATAAAATGTAATTTTTATCGCAAACATTACATTTTTTTTTAAATTTTCGACAGCCATTTGCACATAGAAGATAAGATGTCGGGACAAATTTTTTTTTTTCATTTGATAGTACATAGAATAAGCTTTAATTTGATATATGTTTAAAGAACGCAGTATTTCCGGAACATTTTCAAAAGTTCAGTTGAAAAATATTTTTGTTTTTTACAATATTTTAAGTTTTGAACGCCCCCTATATAAGGAAAAATTATCCAATTTTAATAAAAAGTATGTCAAATGAAAGATGTACTTATAATGTATTTAGAAAAAAAAAATTTGTGCGGATATATACATTTTTCAAAAAGTTATAGCATTTTTAAGTTGAAAATTTAAAATCCAAAATCGAAAATTTTAACACAAAAATAGTGTTTTTTTAACTACGGCAGCCGTTTAAATGTAGAAAAAAAAGTGTCGGGACAAATTTTTTTTTTTCATTTTGTAGTACATAAAATAAGCTTTAATTTGATATATGTTTAAAGGACGCAGTCTTTCCGGAACATTTTCAAAAATTAAGTTGAAAAAATTAATTTTTGTAAAAAAGTTGCCATTTTAAATCCCCCCCAATGAGCAGGTTAAGTGATAGATTTTCAAAAAAATGATATCAAATGAAAGGTAAATATCTAAGGTTTTAGTATAAAAAAAAATTATGTTGATTTGTTGATTTTTCAAAAAGTTATGGAAGTTTTAAGAAAAAAAAGTGAAAAAATTTCGAAAATTAGCGATTTTTAAATTTGTAATTTTTTTGGATATTTCCCCCATTTGCGGGGAACGAGGGAATTTTTTTCAATTTTTAAGGGTAATGTCTTCAACTAGATACGATTTGTGATATTTTGACGTATTTTTGAAAAAAATCGGTCCAGTGAGAGCTGATAAAAAGTGGCAACAGACATAAAAAAAAAACACATCATAGTAAAATTAATACCTTCTCCGCTTCGCATCGAAGCTAAAATATGCGAGTTTTAAAAAATAATCTTTTTATTTTATCATTAGTATTTCTGCCATTTCAACCTATTTATTACTGGTTATCATCAATATTTTTTAATTATCTGATACAGGTATGAGCTAAATAATATTATTTATAAAAAATCTCCCCTAAGATGTTTGCTTTTATTTTTCAAAATATTATGACGAATAATGATGATGAATTTTTAAGAAATTTCAACATAAAATTTAATATTAAAATAACTTATAGAGAAAAAGTAGTTTCCAGTCGACTAACGAACGAAATATAAAATTAAAGATAATCCAAGATGGAGAGAGTAAGATATAGCGTTATGAAAATAATGATAATATTTTGTTTGCTTGAGGCTATCCGGAGAAGAGGGTGCTAGCATCAACAGCATCAGTAGTTGTAGGCGTGGACTTTATAAAATAATTCCGCTGGGTTATCAAGTATATGGTAGACCCTAAAATATTGAAAAATAAAATTTTATTATTCACAACCGTCTTGCATCGAACAAAACGACTACAATTATTATTCGTATTATTTCTTGAAAAACTAGCAAAAACAAGCGACAGGCATCAGATAAACTATAACAAGCTGCCTTTGTATTGATTTAATGACGTGCTTTTTTAATTTGCATCTCGTGATAACAAATCGAATATAATTTAGTTGTTTGGTTTTTTATGACCAGATTCATTCAATCGATTTTAATGCATTGTCTGCGTTTAAACGATTTATGCTCTCCAAGTCGAGTATTCTTCTTAGTGCGACACGCATACATAAGGTGTAGGGTAGAAAACCTCAATAATATATTATTTGCATAAGTACTGACGATTGTTAGCGTATAGATTCGTAGTGGGCGCGCAATTAAAACTTAGGACTTGACTTGTTTGTAAGTACGTAGGTTTTCGACGAGACGTACAAGTGTTCAATACACTCAAGTCGATCGTATGGAATTAAAAACGGTGACGCAACGGCTGTTCATTGATACATTATTCCTTAAAAGTGTCACTTGTAATTAATTTCAAACGGGTCGAAGTGTGCAAATGGCTAATACGTATTATAATAATACACCTCGCGAACGATTTGCGTTGGAAATTGTAGCAGTAGATCTTTGCTAACCGGTATTAATGAATATTTTCCATCCAAGTTGCAAAATTCGATCGAGTGTCGAGATAACAATGAGAAATGCACAGGAGATAAATCTTATGTAACAGCAGCGGAGGATGTTGATCCAAGCGGTTTCCTGTACATTAAACACAGTTCCTGTTTTTGGCCAAAAACCACATGTATACAATCATCTTGTATCGGGACCATACAGAGTCTTTCAAAAAAAAAAAAATACTGAAATTGATTCAACATAAACTTATCCGCCGTCCATGTGTGCCTATGAAATGAATACAGCGCGTAAGCAACCAAGTCAATCTAAATCGAAATTAAATAACTGTTCTTGCAAGATAATAACACCATACGTCGACGATAACAATAGTAATTTGATTTCTTCGAGATTATAAAATTGAATAGATGTCCGTAACGAGGGCGCGCGTACCAATTTGTTTGTCAATGGACGTTCTTAATTCCAGTTATACTAGTAAACAAATAACACTATGTACCTACACACAAGTGTAAATTCATTTATCGTAATCTAAATTGTCCACAGTACGAAATTGTCAACTTAATCTTATTTTGCACTTGGCACCAAAAACTCTTTCATATTTTTTATAGCGATACAAAAACGAATTAATAAATGTCGTAAAGAAATTATTCCACACAAGCGACTTGTTCGTTTGATGGAACTATTAAATTCTTTTTAAGATTCGCGTTAACCAAGAAAAAGTATAAAACCATATAATCGATTAAAATGTTCTACAGCTGAAATTTGTTAACACTTTTGAAACATGAAAATAGTGTAAGTTCCTAATAGGAAATATACAAGTGAACTTATAACGTTGAGAAAATTTTTAAATATTTTGAGAATTGCTTAACGGTTTAAAGTACTTATTTATAACATTTTATAAGATCTACTGAATACATTATACCATTGAAGAATAATAAATTCTAATTGTTGTCACCGTTTGATAATTGATTACATGTAATAGCCGCCACTAAAGCAAATCACTAATGTTAAAAAATAATATTTAACATTTTTTTTTCGGATAAATTATCTTTTAATGAAACTAACCTATCGACAAGTCCATAGTTAGTTGGAGGAGGTGAGGCAAAGGAAAAGGTCGACATTTGTTGAAGTTCCATGACGGTAGTCTTGCCGTTTCCTTTGCCCGCCGATGGCGAAGTTGCTGATTTTTTCGCAGCTCCGTATAATTGTCTGTAATATTTTTCCTGATCACCGTACATCCAACATACTTTCCACCATTGACGGCACATGAGCACGTTGGATGTTTTAGCAGCGGTAGTGGACGACGATCCCATGGCCGCCGCCATCGCCCCAGAAGTTGATGTCATAGTCACTTCCCGGTAAACCGAAACACCCATTCAAAAATAACACCGAGCGCAGCACTAGGTTGACGACGCGAAAAAAATATTCTAGAAAATAAAAAACCAACAGAATTTTTTGGGCGATATTTTTGCACGCACTATCGCGCCATACGCGAAACCCGTTTCGACCGAAACCAACGCGCTCCGGCTACCGGTCGGTGTTGGACACTGCATAATACTAGTGTTGTACTGTTCAACCAGGCAACGGGTATACGATAAAAACGCAAGTACAACGGGTGGGGAGAGAAACCGGCGGCGGTAAGCAATCATATATTATTATCGTCATCTCGACCGTCGGTGGATATTATACGGTTTAAAGAGAAATGGCCGCAAAGTAAAATTAGACACTCTGCACACACTCAGGTATGTACCACTAGGGTCATGGTGCAGAGAGTAGGGAAGGGGTGATGATGAGTAGGTACCTTCATTTACCGATTTCTTGATCTTTTTAGTTCAAGCCGACGGGGTTGTTGACGATAGTTACACCAAACGCTGTTCACGAGTAAATACTCAAGGTCAACTGTGACTACACAAAAAGGGATTACGAAATGCACAAGTTAAAGGGTTCACCGTGAAGACGCAACGAAATAGTTGTGTCAACGATAATGATTAGGTTCAGTTCTATAGTTCAAACTGGACACATTAATGATGTAAATTTTTGAATAGTAACAGTATACTGTTATACTAGTTGACAGTTGATACATTGAAAAACTTACTATCAGCCTAGCGCTTTCACCGGGCTTCAAAAAATGTTTTATTTTCTAATAATGACCGAAAAAAAATGTTATTAAAACGCTCCTATGCATACTATGGCTCCAAATTACAATAATTATTACTGGGCCTATGCTAAGTTTTAAACCTCAGTACGTCTTTGCTTACTATAACTCTTTGAATAATAAAATAGTTCGTAAATTAATAAGCATCACAAGTCAAATGTCAAATGACTAAGGAAAATGCGTGGGATATCAAGTTTCTAAACATCGAGTAAATTTTTCTTCATTAACTTAGCTAAAGTTTAAAAAAAATGAAGTTTTTAGTTAATAACTAGTAGGTAACTTTTAAAAACTTATGTAATTAGAAATAATTTATAGTCCTTTAATCTTGAGTTCAGTTAAACCTTAATTACCGTTTCCAATGACTTTTTTTTTTGTATAAATGAATGTTTTAAATATTTTTAGTTATCTGTACTAGAGTACAGAGAACTTAATTGGAAATTAAGAGTTTTAATTGTAATTAAGATAAATTACAATTATATTTAGAAAACAAATGATTAAATAACAATTTACAAATAAAAATTCTGACTATTTATAATTTAAATTTAATACTTTTCGGCACTTTCAAGAAATATTTACATGTAATTTAATTTGCACATTTTCATATTATTTTATGCTGCATTAAAATTTTATTTTTCTATTTAAAATTAAAAATATAAATTTTAAAAAAATATTTGACTCAAATCCTTGCCTTCCTACCCACCCAACTAAAGCACTACTTGAATTTTCTAAAAATGCTGAAAACACTTTCTATTTTAATTAGTAATTAGCATTTTCATATTGTATACGAAAAAATACAGTTCATACTTTGTAGTAATAAAGCAAACAAATTTTTTTAACAAAAACTTGAAATACAAGATACAAACAAAAAGTTGTATATAGTTGATTATTTTTTTTAATTAAGTAGAAAAATTTTGACTTTATTTAAACACATATACTCATTCTATTTTCGACATTAATGTTTTAACTAATATGTTATAATAAAGTTTAACATAAGAGGTTTATCAGTTTTCTGTTTAGGTTAGAAGGTGTTAAAATTAACCGTTATAAATATTGTTGCATTCTATTTAAAGTCGCTATATTTATTATTATATCGATCATAAAGTAATGATATATTAATAAATTCTTTCAATTGGTTAATTTAAAATATTTTGTGATTATATTAAGTCGCATTTGATTTTCTTAATAAATTAAATATCTTCATTGAACATAAATCTTCTTTAGTTGTTATTCTAACTTATTTAAATGTTGTAATATGATATTGATTTACCTGAAAGTAAACAAAAAAATTAGTTAAAATAAATAAAATATGAATGATTTGTAAATATTTCGGATAAATGACTTAAAGATATTAATGGTAATAAATATGAAAGGATTTCCTGTTCAAATTATTACAAAAATCGCTTTAATATTCTCATACGCAATGGGTTTCAGAACTAAATAATTATTTTAGTAATTTTATCTTGTAATGAACATGAGTTATCTAAGAAATATTTTAATGTTACTCCTTGCTATTTCACTTAAACTGTAGGTTTAATAATGATTATTCACTCTCTAGCAAACCAATTACCAGTACACAAAAAAAAAATTAAATATTTAATTTAATGGCAATTTGTATTTATTAAACAGCTTAGAAAACTTACTATTCGACAAATTAAAAAAAATAACTGAGTAATAACGATGATGAATTGAACAAATAAAAGTCATAATGTTTGTTTGCATAGCACATTCCAAATTATTTACATATACCCCCATAACTAGTGCCCCCAGTAGTTATTAAATTAATTATCTCATTAAGAACAGCGTGTGTACAAATTACTAGTTGTTCGTCAGAGTTCAGAACGAGAGTAAAGACAAAACATGAATGGCGTTATGCAACTCAGTAAATAGCCGTTATTTTCTATTGGCGAAAGGAAATAAGTTAAAAGAAAAGAAACCTTATGAGATTCATTGATGGTGTGTAACAAGCTTCGATAGTTGTTAATGTGAGCTAGTTTTCTTCACTTTAATATGTAGTCACGTGTAGACATTTTAAAAACGTTTGATAAGTCATCTATAATTATGTTAAACGATCGATTAAAGTATATCACTAAGATCGCATATGATTTGATGTAATCAATTATTACATCGATTTAAATCAGATCAACTACGACAGAATTAAACTGTTATTCTATCAGGCAAATCGTTGTGGTTTGGCATAAGTTTGAGTCAGTGTACCAACACATAAAGTAGTTTCTTTATAAGATATTTATTTTTAATTTCAATTTAATTAAAATTCTAGTGATTATTGTACACAATTATCGTTTATGAACAGATTGCATTTTTTGTTGTTAAAAAAAAATTGTCACCATGCGTGGGAAATTATAATATATTTTGAGACAGTGTAATAATTAGTAAGCTGAAAAATGTACTAAGGTAATTATTCAATAATTTATAGACTCATACGACACAATGGTAATTCTCATTAATGTATCGATGGCTGCTAATTGTTATGATTGGTATAATAGAATAAATTAAAAAGGGTTAAATTATTAATATAAAATATTATTTGTACAAAGATAAGTTAGAGTAAACCGTAAAATTGATACGGATGTTATATTATCAAAAGGATAAAAAGGTTCAATTATTTTTCATATAATTTAGAGAAGCTTTTCAAATAACATGATTACAGAATAACCGTACAAGAATGTGAAAAAATATTTAAAAACTAACATAATAATTTAGGATATCTAGAATACATAATTTGTCTAAATATAGAAATATTAGCAATGTACATGATGTATGATAAAAATCATACATATATATATATATATATATATATGTATGTATACATACATTACTGAGATCAAATAAATGTAAATTATTTCTCAAACTAGTTTTTAGCTTTGATGTTTGAAGTATTACCTAGATATTTTTTAAATAAAATAAAATGAAACTAAAATAAAATAAAATGACAACTTTTTCACATAAAATTAACATTTTAAAATTAAATATTGAAAGTGTTCCGGAATTATTGACACTTTTATATGTATACTACATTAAAGATTATGTAATGTGCTTTATTATGAAAAATTAATTTCGAGCTTTATTTTGTCTTCATGGTGAAAATGGCTATCGTATGTTATTTTTGTGTTAAAAATCTCGACTTTATATTTCTATACATTTTTGAAAATTGTATGGATTTTATTATAATAATATACGATTTTTTATGATAAATATTATGTATAAACCTTTTTCATTTGTGATACTTCATGTCATACTCTTTTTTTAAATAGGACAATTTCTACTAATATAGGGGGGTTCAAAACTTAAAAATAAATATAGAAAAAAGAATTTTTTGAACTTAACTTTTGAAAGGGTTCCGGAAATACTGACACTATTATATATATTTTAAATTAAAGCTTATATAATGTACTTTAATATGAAAAAAAAAAATTAGAACTTTATTTTGTCTTCTTAGTGGAAATGACTACCGTCATAAATATAATACAAAAATATGCTATTTTTGTATTTTATTTTATTTAAAAATACCTTATAAAGTGTTTGAGTTTCATAATATAAATTTCAAACTTGAAGATGAGCTAAAAGTTATGGAAAAAAATTCAACTTTTTTTTATTATGAACTTTCAAAACATCAACTTTAAAAGACCAAAAAAATAGGTTAAAAATGATAATTTAAAAACAATTTTTTTTTGTTTTTAAATTTTTTTATATCGTAGTAAATCTTTTCAAAGAAATATTAATCATTTCTATGTAACTCTTGATGTTTTAATAGATGATACAATTGAAATATTTAGAACTATTTTCCTTATGGTTATATCCTATAGTTTTTAACTAATTAATAATAACATAAAAAATTATTGGTGATAGAAAAAATATAATTTCTGATTTAAAAGTAGCATTGACGTCAATTGTAAAATAATAGCAGATGTATTATATATTTACATGAATACGCATTTTTCTAAGTAAATTTTAATAGAATTTATTTATCCACTAATATAAATTTGACTGAAAATAACAATTGTGTATTTTTATATAAAACAAAGAGTAGTGTACCATTTATTAGAATAAAAAAGAAGAAGTTCTTTCACTGTAAACGCAATGTTTAAGAAAAATCATTTTTTCAAAATGTTTCGAATGTCTTTATTTTCATTACTTTGTATATGTGGTGCTATTAATTTTAGAGTTACGGCCATAAGTGTTTCTGAATTTAATACTTTGGTGCAACACCCAGGTTGGAGAAAATTAACAACACATACATATCCTAATATATTTATATTCTGTGTTCAGAAAAGTGAAAATAATAAGGAAGATTTTACTTTAAGTACGATATTCCCAAATAAATCGGATACCAATCTTATTACAGAAGAGAATTTTAACGATAGAGTATGGCAATTCCATTTGTTATTGAGCATTTACTATGCTATTGATTTACACGGTCTAACCAATTTAACGATAGATTATTGGCTTTATTGTCGAAATAACTACAAAGATGATTTGCAAATAGGGTGTTTAGACAGTTTGTTAAAAAAATATCAAATCTTTTGCAATGAACTTAAAAATATGAAAAATTCATTATTATATTTTTATCAAATGGTTAATTCACCTAACCGTATTAAAGAATGGATTTTATTAATTCTTAATGAAATGTATAGTATTTTAAATATTATGATAGAAATAGGGAAACAAGAAAAATATAATCCACAAGATGAAACATTTAAAAATATATTTATGACAGTGCACGATAAAATTGGAGTATTTTTTATGAAGCATATCAATATTTCAAACTTTCCTGAATATAGTAGACCATACTTTATTAATTATATTTATTGTTATATTAATATGTCAGTAGCACTACAAGACTATGATAAATCAATTGATGAGAGATATCAAACATATATTATGAATCTTATTGAAAGTATTAATAGTTATGGTTTTCAATATGGTCCAAATACTCTTGATGTTAATGTAAGTTTGCCGCTAACAGAGAATTTATTAGAGTCATTAGGAAGATTAAAATTATAAAACGTAAACATTTGTCTACATTTAAATAAAAATAAAATGTAATATTATATTGGCATTATTAAAATTTGAATTGATTAATAATATTGTAATTGTTTTTTATAATTGAAAATAAATTATTTTAAACTATTATTTTATTTTTTAATTAAAAAAATATTTAATTGGCATATAAAACTAAAAAATAATTTAATTTGTTAAAACTAAAATAAAATATCCCATATTTTACAAAATTTATAGTTCAGCGACTAACAAATTTAATGTAATAATTGAAAAATATAAAAAGATTGCATCTGTTTCGCATTTCGATGTTCTTATCTAAAGTAAACGTTTACTTATATATTTGCTACTCGTGTAAAAATTAGTGTAAGTGTTGTATATTTTTTTGAAAAAAATTTTTTTTAAAAAGATAAAGAAAATTAATATATAAATATTATAAATGAAAAATCAAGGAACCGAATGAATTTCATTTTAAATAGAAACTATAGGCATTTTCCTTTCATTTGATATAATTTTTTTGAAATTCTGATCCGTTACCCACCCACAGGAAAGGGTTTCAAATAGTAAATTTTTTACAAAAGTCAAGTATTTTAACTTCACTTTTGAAAATGTTCCAGATATACTGCGACTTACTATAAATTAAAAAAAAAAAAATTGTCCCGACGACTTATCTTGTATGTGCAAATGACACTTGAAGTTTAACGAAAATTAATAGTTAGTATTTCTTTTGGAATAATCCACCAATTTCTTAAAATTAAACACTACCTATATTGCATCGAAGCGTTTCTTATGATAGTGATTTTAATCACTATCAGATTTCATCTATACTTATCTCAACTATGTCATGTCCACACTGTGCCGCGACTCCACTATGCTACCGTTTGTTTTAATTATAGTGTTATATAAGGTTAAACGATTTTATCAGGGAGTGAGTTTAATTAAAAAAATCATTATAAAAGTGGATTTTTGAATTCGTTTAATTATTTGATTAAACACTTTATTTTAATAGAACATCGTCTAGTGTTTCATGAAATATGTTATCCAAGAAGTCACTAGTTTTCATCTGACTATTTAACTTGACCAATGTTCTATGACGTTGAATATTAATAGCTAGATCAGCAACATCTTCGAAAGCAATAACAGTACAGAAGAATGAACTTGTTATATCTCTTTGCTCTTTGAAAAATATTTTCGACAGTAGACACAACATAGCGGTTTCAATATGAAATAGCTTGTTTTGTTGTGATACCTTAAAGGCGGCTTATATTACTTCTAACATAATTTACGGTTATAATAAGGCAATAATATAAAGTATTTCTATTGTATGAAAAATGTATAGCCCGAAAAAAATGCAATAAACAACTTAAACAGCTATGTTGAAAGCTGTTTGCGCGAAAATGCTTTGGAGAAGCATCGATCGATATTGACGAATCAAACTTTCTCACCAGTCCGCATTGTCTCAACATTTTCATTGTTGTTGTTTGCCGACACATTACCGGCACCTACGTTTATTTACGACGTATACAGCTAATATTATAATGTTGTTATTACAGAGGAGACAAAGACTTTGTGCTAGGTGTTTTCGAATACTGCAGACTATTGAAACATTTGATAATATAAAATGTCAAGAGAATCCTCATGAAGTTTATTCAAGTACTCATCTCCTCAGCAAAATACAAAATACTTTTAATTATAGCTTAGTAATTTGCACACTGTGCAAATATTCTTTTAATATTTTCTAATAACGATTTCTTTGTTGTATTTTACTTATAAGTAATTTCAAACTGACGAAAACACCCGTAACATTAAAATATAATATATATATATATATATTATATGTCCTATTTCGGAATACGTTAAATCATTTAGACGGTCATCTGATTTAAATTTAATATTGTATTGTACTTTTCTGAACAAGTTTTTCGGTATATTGATACAAAAATGGTTCAGTTAACCGTAAGTCTATTCTATTGCTCATCTCGATTTGTATTTCATCCTTCCACAGTGTTATACTTTAGAAGTCACGCGTTATCAAAGCACTTACATTTCTCATTTAGAGGATTATCATAGCTTTGTAAGCTTCAAATTGTAGAAAAGTATTATAGTCCCTACTAAAATAGTACGCAAATATATTGTCGGGTTCAATTCTAATAGCCTTGTGAGTGTGCTAGTAATCTGAGATATTCAAATAATAGAGTCGGTTATCGTTTTCTACTGTAGTGGTTTATAAAAAATCTCCTCAAGCAAAAATTGATAAAGTTTTTATATAATATCAAAGGATGGTCTGAGAAAAGGTTTGTATACGGTTTGTTAAAGATAATGAATGATAAATACAGTTAACCTACTACGCTTTATAATTTTCGTAAAATGTAGTAAATTACAGTAAATTTTTTAACGGTTTCATGAATAATTTGCATTTATAGTATATCTATATAGTAGATCATTATAAAGCTCAGTTTACATTAGCTAAGTAAAAATATTTGAGTGGCTTAAATGGTTTAAACGCAGTGCATCCGATTTCATAGTCATCGACTTAAAAAGAACATTTAAAATGGTGTGCTAAAGTGATTTATATACTTGGCATGAACACACGCAAAAAAAGACTAATACCAAAATCTACTTAAAAGAAAGAAGTTATTTGTTAGTGTCGATTAACTGGAGAAACGATTATTACTCTATAACCACAGCTATTTTAAATTATTGTAAGTTAAATTTACTTAAACATAACGTAAATTTAGAAATTTTTAAGTATAAATGTATTTGTCATCACGGAAAAAAAATAGTTCTTCGACGAATAATTTAATAAATTTTGTATTGCCTACTGGACCTGCATAAACGGATTAGATTGGACATTAATATTATCATAGAACAAATGCAGTTATTATCTTCATAAGGCTTTTTAGAGTAAGATGTAGTAAGAATTGTAGACGCAGTTGTAGTTTCTGTTCTAAGAACGTTCTTCTAAAATTTATATAGTAGATAACTGCCTATTTTGCTTAAATATATTTATACTCAAATACATACATCCATATATTTTACATGTGTTTGTATAAATACATACTACAGTGTAATAATATTACACTGTTAAATGAATTTCGGTTATTCTCATGAGCATCTTTCCATTATATATGTTTTAAATGTTACTGAGCAAATAGACATTTTGAGATTTGTTTAAGCAAACTACATTTTGTCATCTTAAGTAGAACAAAAATAGCATTTATATATTGAAGGTAAAACTTGGTGAGTGCATTGGATAAATACTATGAGATTTTCTAAAAAAATAATAAATATATATTTTTTATTTATAAATAAATATACCTAAGAATATGGAATGTCACATAACAAATTTACTAGAATATTTACAATATAGGTTTGTTAAGTAATATAATTATAAATAATTTTCCATAACTTTTTTTTTTGCTCTAAAAATGACTAAAATGACTAAAATTCAAGAACTATTACTTATTTAAGGAACAGTTATTTAAAAGAAAAATTTATCCACGCCTCAAATTAAAATATTTTAAAGCCCATAACATTTAAAAATACGGCATTGAATCAAACAAATACATTACACATATAATTCTAAATTAAAATATTAAAAAAATGATTTTTATGCGAATATTGATTTGTTATTTAATCTACTGACCATAACTATTTAAGGAACCAATAAACTAATTCAAACTAAAACAAATATCTAATGAAGTCAATTAAAAACGCATTAATATTAAATATAATAATATACTTGATTAGTACCTTAGCAGTTTGCTTAACAACAAAAATATTTTTATATGATATTGAAATTTTATACATAATTTCGAAATGATTCTGTCATTCAACTTTCTTTTAGTCCAATGACACTTTATTTATCTTATATCATAAGTTTAAATTAAATTTTTAATGTCAAAAGTTGACATTTGCATCTTTAGCATATAACAAAAAATACATTTTGAGATAACCATACACAAAATATTTTCTACAATTGGTTGTGATGAAGAAACGAACTTTTTTTTTGTAATATAATTATACAGCGAAAGTACAAGTCTTTGAAAAAAAAAAATAAAATAAACTACTGATCTGAAGCACGTTTAGTACAGCAACAGGGGTTTTTCAAAGAACATCCAAAAACTATTATTCAAAAATTCTGTGCATTAAATATCCGAGTTAACAAAATAATAAACATAATAATTTAGAATATTTTTTTGATCATTTATATCA